GAGGAAAAAGGTCTGCTGCTGGTAACAGATGCAGTGTTATAAGCCAAGTCTATAAAAGAAATTATTCCTCAGTGTCGTTCTGTTGTCTTACAGAAAAAAATGGATGGATTGGTTATAAATGTGACCTAGGGCACAGTCCTGCGAGGCCCAATTCTGTGACCCAGATCTAACATTTACTAGAAGTTCATGGAGATCTGTAGCTACTCCATCACACTAAAGTCTCAGTGGACTATGTAGGCCACTAGGACAATAAGGAACCTGAAACAAAGAGCATTAAAAAAAAAAAAAAAAGAAAGAAAAAAAAAGATTGCAGAGGTGATACTTGTTGGTAAGAATTTAAAGCAGAGACTTGAAATCACCAAATATTCTAAAAACAAAAACCAAAAAGAAAAGATAAGAAAGCCCTGAGAGAAGAAGCAAGAGGAAAACTAGTAACTCAGTGGAATGATCATCACCCCTTCCAAAGTGCCCCCAAAACCTGTGCCTTCCCACACCATCGCTAACTACATGGCCATCTATGGGACTGCCTGTGCTGCCTGCACTATGTGGAGCAGTGCACTTGCCTACCAGCAAGCTTATCCCAGCTATGATTGTGTGTAATAAACAAGGCAATAAATAAGAAAAGGTGGCTTGTGCCCTCATAAGTTTTGTGACAGATTCTGCTCGCTAGGTAGAGATGACCAAATATGCCCCATAAAATGTGTAATGGTCCGAGAAGTTTGTGTCTTGGCTGGCAGAGAAAAAAAAAAAAAAAAAAGAAAGGACTTCTGCTGAGTCCAAGAGACCAGGTGCTAGGAGGCTCAGCCAGGATAATGAGGCTTCTCTCACTACTGGATCTATAGTGGATCGATAATGATGATGCCTTTGGGGCTGTTTGCTTTTGAACCTTTGTGAATGTTCCTCTACTTGCGGTACATTCCCAGCATTTCATCCAGATAGATATCATGTGTATCATATCATATCTATGAGGCTTCAAGTCAGATATCATGTGTATCATGAGTTGAAGCCTCATAGATTGCTCTTTAAATTTAGCTTTGCAAAGGCCTCATTTTATTCTTTTGGCATTTGGTGGCTTCACGCTCTTAACAAGGAGTCACCCAAATGACACCACCAGCTAAGGGCAAAGTCACCCTAGAAATTTTTGTCACTGGCATCCACAAATCATTATTTTAGAGATCAGTCAAATGCAGAGGGAGTTACAGTTTTTAATGTCCTTTCTGTCCTTTCCAACGTACTTTACAATAGCAAGGGATAATCATGATGCTTGGGTAACTCTGCAGAAAACATTTATACATGTCTGGTTGTCATAAGCCTGTCATACCCTTACATGACTGTAGTGAGAAAGGTAAGAAGCCCTGACTGGGGTGACTTGATAGGTTGCCATATAGTATACAACTGCAACAAGCAATTTGCAGGACTGTCCAGTACATAAGTCAGTCCACTGTATTGGTTTACCCTTCTAATGAATGGAAGCCAAAATACAAAGTTGAGGTGTATTTGCTCCAGCTCATAGAAATGGTAGGTGTGATGATCAAAACACTGCATCCTGCTGACACACTACTGTTTGTTAGAGTCAGCAAAACACAAGTGACAAAACGTGTGAAGGGAGATTCTACTTATCTTACATATCTCAAAATAATCCCAAAACCCTGCAAAAACAAATGAGGGGAAACTATTTCTGATTTTGTTTTGGCCGCTTGTAAAAAACAACAAGAATAAAGTCTTTTTCACAATTATGGGTGAGGGAAGAATAGCAATTCATAGTGACAACAGAAATCCATCTTACTTCATTTGGAGTAAAATCACCTTGAGAAATTCAAGGTACTCAAAGAGCTGCGCAAGAGATGCTCTCCTAGTATCTCCTAGTCCTCCTGAGTGCCTGCAGAGGCTGGTTGATCTTATGGGATTGTAAGTCTTGATGCATTATACGAGTTGTGATGGGCTTTCTGCAATGCAAACCACTGCCTTCGCATGGCAGCACGAGGAGGGCAGCAACCCTCTGCAGACTTGTGGCTTGTTTGCAGCATTAAAACTCTCTGGGCAGGTAGTGATGGGGTGGTGGAGGAGGCAGCCCCGGCCGTGCTGCCACAACGCTTCGGACTCTTATCAGTGCGGCGCGATGCCGCTTGGCCGGTGATGGGCTGTGCCATTTGCTTTAGCTTTGGAGTCAAGAGCGAGCAGTGGAAGGTCTGACGGCTCTGGGGCCTGGGAAGCATTTGATAAATATTTCTCTTTGAGGGCCCTCCCACTACCCAAACTGGGCACATACAGGGAGGGCACACACAGAAGCTCATGGCAACAGATGTCTGGTTTGCTGGGACGTGCCATGTTTGACGGAGTGGCCCATAAAAAGAGCTAGCATGAGGCTGGAGAGCAAGCATCGCTGTTTGCTATAAACAAACCTAAATAAAGTGCTTGTAATTACAGTGTGAGAGGGTTGACCATGCCTGTGTGGTAGCAGGGGAGGAAAATAATGCATTCTTTTATCTGTTCTTTCAAACAGCTGGAGACAGATAAAAGAGGAGTCAGTTTTAACCTAAGCAAAGATCGTGACTGTGTGCTTTCCTTTGTGCCTCAGTGCTTCTGTTTTCATTCTTCCTATTTATATTTTTATTTGTGAACAAGCCTATATAAGGAGCTGTCTTCAAAAGCTTTTTTTTTTTCCTCCAGCTGAAGATGTGAAGATGTCTGTCTCATTTCAAGCTCAGCTCCCACGCTCCCTTTGCTACTGGGGTATGCAAGAATAACAGTGTTTTTTCACTCTGCTCTGTCCTGCTGATGGTAACTTCCAGATGCAAAGAGCAGTAAAACATTTTCCAGAACTAGTAATCACATGGTAGAAGTAATGCAGTCCCAAGCAATCATTTTATGGTTTTCAAGTAGCCCAGAATGTGATGGCATTAGAAGAGGAAATTAAAAAAGAAAATAAATGAAAAAGCTATTGCATCTCCATTACTTCTTCCAGGTATATGGGATAAAGTTTTGAAATCTTAGCATTTAGAGTAAGGTGTAATTTACCCTGACATTGATTAGAATCATTTACCCAGACAAAGTCTTTCTGCAATGTTTCAAAAATACACCTTCCTGCTTCCAATTAGATATCTTGGACTGATGTTCTGATACAGCAGGCAAATGGTGCTTTACTAGGCTTTTTAATTGCTCTAATCATTCAAGTCATACCGACCCAGTTACACATAGCTCAATCAGAGTAAGTTTACAGGCATGTACGCTCATCTACATAGGGAATTACCCTCCAACAGTTTTTCCTGATTAATTCTGCTATGGATGTTATTGCTTTGAAATAGTTCTTCTGCTGCAAATCCTGTGAGACCACTCTTCTCCTTTTGCTAATTGGTGTCTCTAATGGCTCTGTATGTTTTCTGTAGGGATGAAAAATAATATGCAATATTTCAGATATATTTTTACAACCCTGTGTGCTTTATGCATATGCTGCTCTTTTCCTCAGAAAAGTAAAGCATATAAGTAACATGATGTAAGTGGCATTGCCTATAGACTTCTCAGGTATGCTTCATGGTAAGCTGAGACGTTTTCACAACCCGATAATTAAAGGCATCACTGCTTTCCTCCAAGTTTTTGCCATTGGTACTTAATTCTCTTGATATCTGACTTTTTTAAAGATGAGAAAACACAGGCATATGCATACAGATGAATTTCTAGGAAGTAATGTTCTGAGAAAAGGATCATTTCTGGTCTAGTGCATTTTATGCAAAGGTTAGGAAGAATCACTCTCTTTTCATCAACATCCAAGGTCTGAAAAGTAGCAACCTGAAATGCAGTTTAATAGGAACATGCCTTTAGACAATGACTCCCTGCAAAAGTCTATTGCTGCATATCCCTCGGTTCAAATGCAGCCAACATATGAAGCCATATTATGGCAATGGATCTTTCTCTGCTTAGTAGCAGAACTGTTGTCTTGATTTGTGGTTCTAAAGAAATTAGTAAAGAAATTTAAAAGAGGTAAAATTATTTACCTTTCCAAAATCGTTAATGATTTATGGAACTATTGAGAGATCCCTAATGTCTTTAGAGTCGATAAAATTATAAAGCTGATTTATTCATATATGATAGCTTTGCCTTGAGAGAATGAAGGTATATTTGAGCTTTTTTTGTAGATCTTTTAAACTTTTTTTTTTTTTTTTACTTATAAGCTTACATCACAAATGCAGTCACATGTTCCAAACAGCTTGGAAATACTAACATTTAAGTGGTATATAAATCAAGATAGATTGCCCATAGGAAAAGTTTAAAGAGGTTGCTCTTCACTATCCATTTGGAAACAACTGAAGGGCTCATATTTATAAGATGTAAAATAAAACCCCAAAAAGAAAAATAAATATCAACTATGTGTTCTCAAGAAATGTTTGTTTCCTGCATAAGATTATGCATAGAAGACATTTAGCTATAAGAAATAATAACAGAAACTGAAAGACTGTCTTAAATTTGAGTTTTTCTGTTTATTAGGGATGGAAATATGCCCTTTTGAAAATTTTAGACTATTCATCCTTCCTTTTCAGCATGCCTTTTTCTAACCATTTTGATACTGGATACAGTGCAATGACAAACGGCAGGTAGAATTTCCATATTTAAATGAAGTCAAACACAAAAGCTCTTCTGAAACAAAATTAACTTTATTTGTTAAAATATCTGTATGATATACAAAGGAAATGACTATAATTTCCAATGCTTAAGGCACAGAGCACTGTGTTTTTTCTTCCTCTGGAAAAACAATGCTTTAAAAGTAGACAACTATTAGAATCAGACATTAAAATAGTAATAAAATAATAAAATATTAATAAATACTTCACATTCATATAATCTGAGTTTATAATAATTCAGGCATTTCAACATCAACTAAATATTTAGTTAAATATGCCTCCAACATGCAGGTGGAAGCATCACCTAGTTCAAAGAAGTGAGACATTGCATATGCTTCATAGTGAGGTTTAGGTGAACCAGAGATAATTTTCCTTTGTTGAGTTTCATAGCTGCCAGCAGCAGAGCTCCAGGATGAAGGGGAGTAGGCAAAAGAGTGCAAATGGAGTTTGCTGTAGTCTTCGGCCATTAGAATATAGCCTGGGCATTTCCTCCTCTTCTGCTTTCAGATCTACAAAAATATCAATGATAAAATGGTTAGCAAGAGTAAAATGCAAACTGTATGAAAAATAAAATGTTATTTTCCAAACTTTTCTAGCATCTCACAGGTACTTAAGTTAAAGGTATTAGCTGTTAAAAGCCGATCAAAGAAGCTATTCTCTGGGGAAGAGATGTGAATAGATGTCCCATCAATGATCGTTTGAGGAGTAACTGATAGCACTTATCAGCTCTTGCAGGCATTAATCTCAGAATAATCAAAAGTAAATACTCAGCAAAAGCAAGAGCAAGATCTTCACAAGAGGAATGCACTCTGGCCCCCACGGGGCCTTTTAACCCTTCTTTTGGCAGGAAGGGCCTCCACTTACTGTCATTAGCATGAATGGGGAGTGATACCCTCGCCCAGGTAGGGGGTGAGCAGCTGGTCCCTCTGCCACCTTTGCTGCAAGACTCTTCACTGAGCAGAGTCTTGTGACAAACAGCAGTAGGGCTGGCTCAAGAGTTAAATGTTCAGGGAAACTCAGCAAGAAAACATCTCACTCTTCTGAAGGGTGCGGTTTAGCTGCCACACGTAAGCAGTCAACAAGGAAGACTTCAAGGCAAAAATATTTCTGGCTGTGGTTGCAAAGATAGGAATAATTGCTTTTTTTAAGCATTTCACCTTGCTGGTTTTATATTCTTAATGTGCAGTAGGGCATTCCCTGGGGATCTGAGAGGCTCGAGTTTTGAAATTTGTGCTTTATTCCAAGATGAAGGGAAAACTGATTTCAGATAGCCTTTTCTTTCCCCAAACAAGTCCCTGCCAGATTTTGGGGGCATGAGCAAATCCTTGACGATTTACTGTCTGTTTCGGTCAGCTGTTTCCTTAGTCTGCCAACATGTGATGTTAGCACAGGAGCAACAGGTTATCTACAGGATGGGAGCAAGTCACCACAGATGGAGGAGGGCAGCAATGTTTTGCACTGGCTTTGCCCCTGGAGATATGCTAAACCCTCAGGAGTTATTGCTTAGGAGAATGAAAGTACGAATATTACTGCCAAACACAAATCAAGGCTTAAGGCTACATACTTTTGTGCAGGGTGCTCAGTCTTAAGAGCTCTATATAAGAATGTTTTGGAGATTATGATGTGGATCTGGATTCAGACCCATTTTTGCTGCTTGTGCGGGAAGTGATTTATGCAAGATCACCCAAGTTTTCAGTTACTTCAGTTTCTCTAACAAAATACTGGTTTGTACTTCTTACCTTACCAACTCAAACAAATGGTTTTGAAGTATGTATAACTCTCCCTTACTCAAGCATTTTTTTTATGCCTGGATGCAGCTAAACTTAAACAAATTGCCCTGCTTAAATGAGAAGACATGGACACATATAGAGCTGCGCAACAGGAGAAACATTTATCCTTTCAATTTTCAATTAAAATGGGGAAATTAGTTTCCAACTGCATGGAAATTTTATGAAGATCTGCAAGCATTTTACGTGACGTGCCATGCAAGTGGTAGCTCTATCACTTGCCTCCTCGCTAATGTGTTCTCCGAAGCAAGGTAGGCCCATGCGCTAGGTTTAAGTGGGGCACATAGAAAGCCCACCACCTTTGCAGAAGGTAAGTAGGCACAAAATATGTTATGCATGAAGTGAAGATGGGTATATGAGCTCTTACCGCAGTCGCCGTGCATGATGTCGGAGAGGCAGTGGAGGGTGCCGTACCCACAGCGGCACAGCCGGCAGCCCTGCAGCACCCACGCACCATGGGCAACGCTGCCGCAGTTGCTGTCAAGAAAAAGGGAAGGGGCTTCTTTAGTGGATACCCAAAGTAACCCCCAAAGTGGCTTTGATTGTCCCTGCTTCTTTTGGGTCGGCTTTTACCTTTGGCGCTCATCGTACTCGCAGTACCGGCCGGTGAAATGCTTTTGGCAGGCACAGAAGGTGCCCAGGATGCAAGTCCCTCCATTCTGGCAGCAGTTCCTGTTCAGCTTTTTACCTGCAAGGCAATTTGACCCATTTTCCCCAGAATTCAGGGTGGGGGACTTCAAACCTCCTCTTTTCTACACTTGTTCCTCTGGGTCTCTGCAGTTGCCAAAGGATCTTAAAGTTGTCTAGTTTTATTGTCCTGAGAGACAATAAAATTAAGTTGCCTGTTAGGAGTGTTTGCTCAGTTAAGACGAGTTTATTTAGTTAAGGATTAGCAGCAAACTACTAGGGATTACAGGATGGTCAAGAGGCAACGCCTGTCAAGTCCTGCAGAAGTAGCAGTAACTCAGGTGAAATCTTTCACTTTGTCAGAGGCAGGTCTCAGTGTTGCTATGGATAAGCAGCATTAGGGTTAGTGGGAAATGTTGCTTATATCTCAGAGGGGAAGAGAATTTTCTTTCAACTGTTTCTCAAGTGCCTGGGGCAGAGCTACCGACCTAAATCCTTTACTGGTAGGAAACAAAAATCTGCCCTTGTTTTCTGAAAATACTCTTGCCCGGATACAAAACTTTTTTTTTTTTTTTAATATTTTTTGGCCCAAAGATATAGCTAATTTTACAAAATGAACATAATTTACAACCACTTTGCAAGTCTAAGGGAGTACCCTCCTTTTTCACTTCCTAGTATTCTTCTCTGTTTTCTATTATCATCACCATTAAACAGTTTGTAGATAAAAGGTTGAGTTTTAAAGAGAGTAGTTTAAGATATAGTTCAAAAGATAAAAAAGATACAGTTTATAAGAAGTTTTACCTTAAAACTTTAATCACCACTTTGTAAGTGGCCATGAGAATGGTTTAAATTATCTTCCATACAAATTCAACAAGCTGAAATCTGCCAGTGAGTCAGTGCACAGGAGAAGAGGGAAAGCTTTATTGTGATAGAATATTTAGAAAAGCAATTTTGTGACACCATTTAAGTAATAATGTTACCTACTCTCTGTAATCCCAGGGAAAGGTACAAATGTCCTGGAGTGCTGCTGCTTTCTGCTTTCGTAGCTCTGATTCATGTCACTGAGAGTATTTATAACAGTCTCTTCATTTTTAGGCTGTTGCTTCTGAGCCGTGGCATTGACGTTTTCCACATCTTTTTCATGTTCTTCTTTTTCACGGCCTTGACAAGTGCAGATAAGAAAGAGAAGATAACTTGTAATGAAATAATGTAAAGGTACTAGAGAAAAATGAAGCAGGAAATGTGAAATCTGCCTTACCTTTTCCTAAATGAATGGCCTGCCAGACCAGAGTCACAGTAAAAAGAATTCTACACACACGCACACACACAAAAAGAGGGGAAAAAAAAAAGAAAGAAATGAAATTGATTTGTGAGATTAAGACACACATGCAAAAATAACTATTAATGTAATGTAATGTTTATCACAAAAAAATATGTGCTCGCAGTGGTTTGGATTAGCACATCAAAAATCTCTTATCAGGCAAAAAATAATAATAAAAAAAGAAAAACAGAAAACCACCAATTCCGTACACTCTCTGGCTAGGTTTCCAGGGCACAGAAAGGTTGTCACCAGCAGCAGAAGCACCAGCCGCCAGCCGGCCTGCAGCTCCAGGCACCCTGTTCCTGCTCAGTCCCCGGCCAGGTTGTCCCCAAAGAGCAGCGCTGCCAGGAGAGCCTCCCGTGCATCCTTACCTGACGTGCTGTCCCCGCTGCATTTTCCTGCAGCCGGGCAGGCTGGAGAGATCCCCGCGCTGGTCTGTGTTCCAAGGCCTCACTGCGGGCTCCTTGTCCTTCTTCCCGGCTGATGGCAGCGGGGCACGGACATGGCTCCCCGCCGCGCCAGGGCTGAGCCCCCACTGAGGGCCGTGGGCCGTGACCATCGCTCGGACCTGGGGTCCTGATTTACATGCCCGGCCGTCGGGGTGGAGCGAGGAGGCAGCAGCTCTGCTGGGGGGCGGAATTAAGGGCCTGGGACGGCCAGCAAAGCCCCATCCCGGAGCTCCCGGCTCCAGAGATCGTGTTTGTTACTGGGGGGAGGATATGCGTATGCTGCTTGGGAAGAGAAATTGGTAATTTCTGCAGAACTAGAGCATGTGTATGTATATATATGTAATGAAGTTTAAAAAACAAAAACAACAATAACAACAAAACAGCCTCAGTCCTACTACCAAAGTGTGTTATCTCCAGCAGAGCTTCCCATAGACAGATCTAACTATTGATTGTACCATTTTTCAAGAAAGAAAATACTTAGATAGTGCCTGCACTGCAGATGTCTACCAGCAATATTTCAGAAAAGTGTGTGATTCTTAATAGAGATCTTTCAAGAGTCTTTAAAATAACTCCTTTTTTTTTTTTTTTCCCATGGCAAACCTTTTGGTGAATATTCAAAGTGTGAGACAACCAAACTAGCCCAACCACATGCCCTGAGTGGAGTAGGTCCCCTTGCATGGTCCCACCTTGCGAGGGGATGCAGCATCCTGGACACAGAGACCTGCAGCTGCACACTGGTAGCACGCACCTTTGTGTGAACTGTTCCACATGGGAGCTGATTCCCTTTGCCTGAGCTATAACAGGAAGGGGCAGCGATGCACTATTTCTTGAGGGGTAGGAGAATTGCAGAAGACGAAGGTTTTACTGAACTTGTACAAGTCCAGGTGGCACAAATTGCAGTCAAATGCGCTCGGGAGGAATATGGGTCGGGCCCTCAATGAAGAAACAGTCCTAGTGAGTAAAGGTGGTTATGGTCTCTTGCTGTTTGTAATTCAAAAGGTTTGATGCTTGTCTGTCTTGCACCATCTGAACAAACTGCTCAAAAGCTGAAAAAAAAAATCTAGTATGGTATAAAGGTTGGTGCAACTCAGAATGATCCAGACTAAGTCAAGGCTTCATAGTGTGGGGTGCTCTGAGGATCTATTCCCTCATATTTCACTGGAACAGGCTGCCCAGAGAGGCTGTGGAGTCTCCTTCTCTGGAGATCTTCAAAACCTGCTTGGATGCCACCCTGTGCCATGTGCTCTAGGTGACTCTGCGTGAGCAGGGAGGTTGGACTAGGTGATCTCTAGAGGTCCCTTCCAACCCTAAGCATTCTATGATTCTATGATTCTCACGTCTTCTGTGGAGACACTAACCTCTGGCTAGAGACATGAAACTGGAGTTTCTGCAAAAATAAATGCTTGGTGGATACAACATGGGTACAACTGTTGACTGTGATGATCTAAGTTCAACTATTTTTTTGATAGACATAAGATAACTCCTTTAGCTACACAGTAACTTCAGTCTATTTTATAATAATAACTGATTTAAATTCTTTTACTTAAATTTGCTTTTATTCCTGGCTTGCACTGAAGTAACAAATATTTTGGAATTAAGTTTCTTTCGTGTTTGTTGTGTGTAACCTGGTAGATTCTCGCTGGAAGAATTTATATGCTTGTACACCTAGTTAAGATATTTATTACAAAGAATGTCATGATAGAAATCGCAATCTGTTAACTCAGGAAGGGATTTTGTTTCTTCTATCTTAAACTGAAGTAATTTTGGAGTGACAGGTTATTCTTTCACTATTGTGTCTGCCTTTTTCTGCTATGATTCATGAGAATTTCTAAAGTAAACGTGTTGAGATTTGAGTTCTTGTTTAAAATCTATGGTGTGTTCAAGTGCTGTAGCAAGCATAGATGGTTGCCCCAAATTAAGCCTGTAATGTGTTTCACACAAAATGAAAGCGGTGTCATGTTTCCATGTATTGACAATATTTGTGTGTTTTGAGCTTTATCAGGACATGAAATACTTCTTTATGTCAAGCACTTCCACTTCAAACAACACTTATTTTAAATGGACTTCAGGACTCTGTTTTCCTAAGCTGTAAAATACAGTGTTTGCAGTTCAAAAACGAACAGTTAAATTGCATTTCTTACTGCTTATTTTATTAGGAAGAAAAAAATTATTTTCATTCTGGTCTAGCTATGACTTTAAGTTATAATCTTCAGACCTAAAGTGCTGTCATTTAGGATCGAGTTTGCTGTTTTTCCCCTCTTCACAGACTGAAAGAAGAAAAAATAAACAGAGATAAGTAAACAGCAACATCACACTTGCTGAGCTTTTTAATAAATGCAGTGTCAATATAGCTCTCCTGAAGAGTTTTTCTGGGTATCAGATTCCCAGCTCTGTACCAGGGGTAACTTTTAGTGCCAGTAAAGAAATATTGATCAATTTTCACACCCTGTGCCATTTGTTTAAGATCAGAAGTCAGCTCTGTAAATGCAAGAACTAACAGCCTGGGGAGCCATAAAGCACTTGGTAAACATTGCTTGCTGTGATACCTTGCTCTTTTCTTCCTAAAGCCTCTCCAAAAAGACACAGGTATGAGAAGAAAAATTGCTAGGATGACAATGTTGCCCAACTGTCCTACAGAGGGGGGATTGGTGTAATACTGAGGAAAAGCACTGCAGCTCACTGTTGACCAAATCTGCCAGAAAGCTTGTGGAAAGCTAGCAGAGGTTTCAGAGCAGCCACAGTAAGGAGATGCACCTCTGTTATCAGCTTGATAAGAGTGGAGCCAGCCAAAGAGCTGGTCCTGAAAATGTCAGCCAATCACTGTCTACATAAGAGGTGGTTAAACACTGCTTAAGTGTTAGCAGTCTTTAATGCTGTTAGTTGCTACTGTAGGCCAAATGTTTCTTGAAGGTGGTATAAAAGTGATAGGGATACACAGGGGTAGTTATCTAGGTAGTATGACCCTTCTTGTGCTCATCCAGGGAATTGTAGCTCCACAGCTCGTTTCTGCTGGCACTGATGCCCAACGTGTGAGTGGAGGACTACACTGAAGGATGATGCATGGTTAACAAATGATAGCTGATTTTTGCTATATTACTGTTTCATACTAAGCGTATTTATGTGTAGATATTTAGTGCTTCCGAGCACTTTGCAAAATCAATAGACGCCTAGGACCAGAAGAAGCCATAGGCAAAGGAAAAAGATATGAGGAAGAAAAAAGTAGTAGTGTCCCCTCTTTCTGGAAATTGCATGGGAAAGCCTGCTCCAGGGTATGGAAAATCAAATGACAGTGGTGTAGCCAATGCCTCTGATACCTTTATTTTACCAAATTCCACTGTAGGGCTTGGACCAGTTTGCCAGAGTAGTACTGGCAGTGCTACTGTCTAGTTAGTTGTGTAGAATGAGTATGAGGTCACAAGTATTTATTTTTAGCTTGTGAAACCTGGAAAATGAAGACTGGGAGAAATTCATCTCTCGGGTAAGAGCAAAGCTGAGGTGTTCCCACATGGATTTTTTCTGGGTGCTCAGCTCATTAGTGATGAGGATGTTGGATGGATAGATCTGCCTCAGATTTTTTATTATTGCTGGGTACAGTTGCCACATTGTACATTATGTTACATTCTTATAGGACTTTCTCAAGATGTGGATATATGGATATAGGCACAGAAGTTTACTCTGGCTTAAATTTCTTACCAACTTTTCTTTCTCGAGTTAAGAATGGCTTTTATTGGGTTAGTCTGATTCTGCCAGTAATTGACCTAAGAGGGTAAGAAACAGGAAAATAAGATAATCCTTTCAGTGTCTGGCATCAGTTTAAATAATCCTCATTTTCGTGATCAACTTAAGTGGAGATGAACAGATACTGCTGATGAAAGCAGGAATCCCCCTCTGTCTTGCACCATGATCTGTCTGCTACATTGTCTCCTTCACACTGCCTGCAATGCCTGTGCACTGCAAGTGAGCTGTGCAGAGAATTTATCTCAAAACTCAGATGGAAAAAAAAAAAGGACTAGTCTTCAGGTAGATTATTTCCCTGACATAGAAAATGAGCACTAGTGCTGGCAGAAGAGGGAAGCTGGAATAAGCAGCTGTGGACATGAGAAAGGCAGCCCCTTTCATCAACATGTCTGTCTTATACCGAATTAAACCTACTGTGGGGTTTGGAATTTGTAAGTTGATTGCAGTTCATAAATTTAAAGTGTCTTTCTCCTCTGTAGGAAATAAACCACAGCCAATTTGCCACATGATAACAGTGCCATCTTCCATGGGCTCTTCATATCAGCACTCTCACACAGAGAATTAGAGGAGTCATCCTACCGCTCTCTGACAACACAGGGATGAACGTTAGTACAAACAAGATGGGATCTCATCTCTAAACGAGAGTAAGCGGCTACAGCGGTTGAAGAGGGAACCTTGTTGCAAATGTGGTATAAAGATATCATACCCAAGCAACACTTTGTCACTGCCTGACATGTATATTTATGGAATAAAACCAGCCTTGTAATAGGTTTTCTTTTTACTGAGTCTAGTAGCTAGTTGTTAAACTGATTGAAAAAAAATCAATATAATAGTGCAACTGTGTAATGAAAAACAACACAGTTCATGTCTCCTGGGTACTGCAAAAGACAACGTACTGTTCCACTGGGACACAGTGGAAATGTTATCACGAAACTCTGTCCATCTTCCTCTAAGGGGAATACTTTGGCAAATGAACCAGTCCCAATACCAAGGGACTGCAAACCTCAGATTTTATTTTTCCTTTTCAAAGAAAATTGAAGTTTTTGTCTTTTATTGACAAAATGAGACTACTGAGTAAAGAGAAGTTTTCCAGAATCATTTCATTTGAAGTTAAAAAATAAATGATGAGGTTTTAATTTACCTCAGACTCTGCAACTGCAGAGTCCTACTGTATGTTCCCCGGTTCAGTACTACTGAGGTCCTACCATATTTCTGGCTGAATGAATTTCTCCTCCTCTTTCATTACACAGTCAAGTGGGTGTCCACCATTTGGGTAGCTGTGCGAACATTTTATTTTTAAGAATAGTCTCCTATCAGTTATATAGAGCTTACTGAGAGTCATATATTCTTACTAAAGCACTATTTGGGGGAC